AAATTTTTAAGTGTCCCAGAATTCATTGAAAACAGCTGTAATGTAATTTATTATAAAATCTCCGGGTCAGTTTTTAAAAAATTCATGTTTTTTTTATATTTTTCTCTAAAAAAAATTATGAATTTTTTATAATTTAAAATAAAAAGCCAGACTGCGGGTCACTTTTAAATTTTCATGTTATGAAATTAACTTTGTTTGGCCTAATATTAACTTTTTATTATTTTTTTCTCTTTATTAATTTTATTATCATTATAACTTTGTCGTTATTTTATCATAGTTTTGTTACTCACAAGATCATTTTCTTTATTAATTATTGTATTTAAGTTTTTCTATCTTTATAATCACTTTCACTAGTTTTATCACTTTCGCCACCTTTCATCCTTTTCGTCATTTTAAAAATATTTTGGCGAAACCTCTAGGTTTCGCCTAACAACTATAGTCAGATGAGGGAGCTCTATAGTAAATTGAAATCACCTGATTTCTGCTCCTCTCCTAAAGATAGCACTTTGGTTGATGAAAAATTCGAAGAGTACTATGCATCTAACTTGAGCTTATCCGGTTTAGTGTTGCAGGCTAAATTATTTTTCAAAATCCGAAATATTTCGCCTGAGTGAAATAATTTCGCCAAGGGCAAATATTTCAAGTTAAAGGAAATAAAATTATTTTTAGAGAAACGATTCAACTGAATGAAATTTAATATATAATGTATCTTCAAATAATTATCATAAAAGTAAGCCTTCTGAAAAAAGGTTTGAAAATTCATTTTGGACCCACTCTTAGTGCGATCTCCAACATATCAGTTACTTGAGTTTAAAAATATTGATATTTTTCAAAAAAAAAAAAAGAACTTTTTTATTCATGGTTGTTCATGGTTGAATCTAATTGTAACAAATGTGCTTTTCAATCAATTTTAAGTAACGCCTTAGTAGATTACGATAAATGCTAAATTAATAATTATTTGTAAGATTATTTGGAAAAGTGTTAATTCGTAGTTACAAAAAAAAAACAAAAAACAAAAAAAAAACCATTGTTTATTTAAACATGAAATATACACCCTATGTAAATATATTGCATGAAAAAAAATCAACTATGCCTATATCTAAAATTATGCTTAAAGTGCACTAGCATTAAGGGTTTCGTTTCTCATTATAAAAATGACAGTGAAAAGTTATGTGATAGTAAAATTAATGAATCAAAAAAAAAAAAAATATATGAATGGAAATACAAGTTACTAGTAATAAATTAGGAACAACCATCTTTTCCACAAATCTCAGCATCTTTGGATGACTTATTAGTATTAGTAGTTTCTTTTTTCTTATTATCCGAATGACCAAGATTCATATCAGGAGCGATTCTATTTCTAACAAGTTGTTTCTTATTAAGAGATAAAAATATATGAAACTTGTAATACAATTTGAAAAAAAAATGAATACCGAGATTTTGAAGGAGTTAATAACACTTACCAATTCTTTCAATTCCGGAAATCGACCTTCTTTCTTACGATCCCAAATAATTTCTAAAAAATCAATAAATTATATTTAAATAAAACAGTCTTATTACTCGAATAAGAACATAAGAATAATAAAATAATATTATGTTTAATAACGTACCACCATCAACCTGAACTATGAAGACAGCATCGACACCAGGTATTAAAGCAACTTCACCAATAATCGTACCGAATGTTACTAATAATTCTTGAGCAGTCCATCCAGCACGAAGAACCCTTTATTAAACCAAAAAAAAATCAACATATTTGAAAGATTCATAAACAAATTAGTTAAATCATTTATGAAATAAACTTGCCAACGACATTGAGTACAAAATTCTATTGAAATACGAGGCAAACGGGGTTTAATATTTTCTTGTTTGTTATCGGTTAGAGATAAATTTTCTATTGATGAAATTATAGCAGAGGTTTGTTCAGATGACATTTTAATTACAATCTAATAGACTGTTAATGTTGATTATAAATATAACTAAAGTTATAGGGTACTAAAATTTTTAGGGGCTTATACTATAACAGTTAAGATCAACTAGCGCTAGTAATACCAAATTCCGGGTTGTAAAATTTCAATCTGACGTAAGTTACCGGTAAAATTACTATAAGTTACCAGTGAAGTACTTTATATTTTATTCTGAAAGTCTTCGTATTTTATTAATTATTAGCATAATGAAAATTTCCAATAATGGCAACACTTTTCAAACAAGCATTTGGTAACTTACCGTGGTAACTTGCAACTTGATATTAAAAATAAATAGGGATTAAAGCGAGCCAGCTTTAAGATTTAATTTGGCCAGCATTAATGCTAACTTAAGGACTACGGGATAGATAGGAATGATAACAGTCCAGTTTGCAGGGTTGTTGGTGATAATTAGGGTTGTAAAATTACCGTAATTTTACGTAATTTTGTGCAAGTTTACGGTAACATGTAATTTAAGAAATGTTATCATACTATCATATGATTCCCTGCGATTGGTAAACTTTATGCGGAGTTCGATAATGCTAGTTAAGTTTTTCATAATGCTGCTAGTTTACATCACGTGTGAAATTTACATGTAATCCATGTTACTGAAACTTATGCAAAATTACATGAAATGTAAAATTGTAAAATGTAATTTTCAACCCTAGTGATAATCTACCATGGTAAATTACCGCGGTAAGTTATCGGTAAATTACTATAAATTTTGGCGGTAAGTTATCAAATGCTTATTTGAAAAATTATGGTATTTAATTAATGAACATAAAATATGAAGACTTTCAGAATAAATTCTTGTTATTCAATAGATATTAGTGAATACGCTATGTTCACTTATATTCATTGAATAACTGGATTATCCTATGGGTACGACGTAACAACCTGTGCAACATGTCATTCAATAAACTTCTGGTAAGTAATTTAAACTTTTCTTATTTTAGTAATGATTTATTAGATCGATCTAATCAATTGCTTTTTTATTTTTTTTTAAAAATAGACATAAGAAACAACATTGCATTAACTTAAGAAGTTCTTGAATTACAATAAATTTCTCATGTGAAGAACACTAATAAGTATATCTTTAAGTAGTTATGTTGTATTAACTAGTTTTGTAAAGTTATCAAGTATGAAAAATGGTTTGAACAAATTGAGTTTATACCAGAATTAGAAGATTTTCTTTGTAAATTTCTTATTTGATTATAAAAAATAGAAAGAAGTATAAGGTAGAAAGTATTCATAATTGTTACTCTTCTGTAACTTGTTACTTAAAAGAAAATAGTAAAAATAAACTATATAAATTATAGGATTCTTAACAGTTTAGTAAAGTATTTAAAATTCTTGATAAAAAAATAAAAAGATTTCAAGGTGTTAGCTTAGAAAAATAGATCAAATATATGTATTAATTACTGAAAAAACTTTTCAGATACTTGATTATAAAAAAATTTTTTATTTATTATTTTTTTGCAGTCTCTGTAGTAGTGATATTAAAAGAATCAAATTTAAAGATATATTATATCAGAATAATAGTAAACTATTGTTACAAGTGGTATAGTATAGCCTTCTTAGTATATCACAAGTAACATAAGACATGGAAGAGAGACTCTCAATAGTATCAAAGCAGGATATTACTTTGCAAAGGCGATTCATTAGAAAGATTATATTAAAGCAAAGAGTATTCTTTATTTATGATATAATATCAATAATACAAG